GTCAGAAAAGAGTTGGTTGGCGAAAGGAGTCCCGGTCTAACTAACACTGATTTCTTCTGCTAGTTATATTTGTCTTTGTTGACTACCACATGAAGTATATTATATCTTTTTCTAAAAAATGCACACGCTATAGTTTAGAGCCATTATAAAACGACTGGATAAAAGCAGAATAAGCCCGAAACAGTTCTGTATCAATGCACTGGAATTCTTTTTCGTTCCTCTCCCACTCCCGCTAATAATTCCAGCGTTTAGTAATCAACTGTTTTACCATACTTCTTAAAAATGATTGTGAATAAAAAAGGATAGATACCAACACGGCATAAAAATATCTTAAAAATTGAGTGGCTTTTCCGGACTTCATACAGCGGCACCACTTCAGCATCTCATCTTACGGAAATTTGAAGAGAAAAATCGCAAATAACTACGGAAGTAAAGCTGACTGACTTTAATAAAATTACCGAAATATTCAGTGAAGAAACTGGAAACTGGCCACGCATTACGCTATGCATCTTTCGTGGCTATAACTGTTCTGCCCCCATAAAGACGATGCATCAAATGCCTAGGAAGGTAAGGTTCCTCTAAATGAATGCTAAATTGATTGTCCTAATTCTTCTATGTTGAATGTCGGTATCCGAATGAAATTGTGAACGTTATCAAATTGGGAACAAAGTAGTCGCGAATGAAAAAGTAAGGAAAGTTTGAAGTAAAAACGTAAAAACGTAAAAATAAAATGAGCTATCAAAGAAGAGGTGAATTTCGCAATCACTAGCCAATTCTGAGTCTCAATCCTCAGTGATATGGGTAGAAAACATTTTATATAAACTATGACAGATGGGGACAATTCCATTTGTTAATAAACGGCTCGACTTGATATCTACTGCGTACTTTGCTTGTAAGAACTAAAGAATTGATCAGTTTTATTCGTAATACTGACTTTTATGCCGAAAATAATTTTAGCTTGACTTTTATGTACGTAAGTGCATATATTCCCAATTAGGAATATATGAAATCGAGGCGCAGTGAAGTGCAAAAAAACGTTGGCAGTTTAGAAAGGTATACTTTGTTGGCTAAGATGAATACATACATATAATTCTGATGGAATGGCACCGACAATGCGGTGCACTGCAGCAGCTGTTGATAATAGAGTTCAGTTGTTACACAGCGCAGATGTATATCAGAACTTAGTTCGGTATCATCCCTCAGTGTTATAACCCAGAATCGGAGCATTGACGGGCATAGTAGTTAAAGCCGAAAGGATTAGATTAAACATGTTATAGTAATTGAACTAGGAGATAGCCATAATTAAAATAACAGGGGAAAATTACAAAATACCAAGATTAAAATTTGCGCCTTAAGAACGTTTAGCAGTCAGGCGGAAAAACCAACCAATGATTTTCAAGAGGCATACGTACAGGGTCACGCAAACAACAGTCCAAGGTTTGCCGAAGGACTCTTATGAAGATGCCCGTAGTTACATACCAAGTGCTTGAAAAAATAGAAAACAATTCCTAAGAGAACATCGAGATAAGTAGTTCCACGCGCTCATTAGTTAAGAGAACTTCACAGAATCCAAGACCGGTGTCTTGATGAGAGGGCAAAATGGAGGAAAGTCATGGCACTCGTGGAAATTCTTGGAAATATAAATGATATCTAAATTGGATCTGTAAATGTGGATTAACAGCAAACAATTAATAACTTCTTCCGTATATGATCGCAAACTTATGCAAATGGATATATTTCGTGCTTTTCATATGCATGGAATATTAGAGACAGTAGTTTGGAGAGTTTATTCTCCAGTGCGATATTCATCGTCGTTTCTATTCACCATATCATGTCGGGGAATCATTTTGAAACAAGCGTTGCCAACTCATCTGTTTTCAAAATTAAACTCCGGAGTCTATACAACGTCTTATTCGCTCTGTTTGCACAAACGTCCACTAATTTCTTTATATTTAGTGCACAGGTGTGACGATGCCGAGCACGGTCGAATGATTATCTCCATGCGGTAGATGTAAGCAATTTTGCTTTCCTCCATAAGAATGAAGACAGAAAGCATCTGACAGCTGTGCTTTATAATAACCGATTTCGCTCGTTTAGACCGAATATTCAGTGACTGTGTAAAGGCTCTTTTTGGTTTTGTTAAACTTCTTTTAAGAAAGGATTCATTTTGACAATTTTATTTCAGGTTTCTGCCCTAATTGAGGTCCCTAGGTCATTCCGAATCGCATCCGGTAGTGCGGTAGTTGCCTGTATTGAGCCCAGCAGCATCAGAAATGCTGGCCGATGTGGACACGGGAGTCAGGACGACATAAGTGTCATCTCCAGCGTGGATGAGGACACTAGTAACAGTAATATCAGTAGCATCCACGGTCCTGGAAATAGCAGCCGCAGTCCTCTTAGCCACAACACCATCGCCACTGCCGCCGCCAGTTTCAAGGACGGCTACGAGGAGTAGGAGGTTGGGGAAGAGGAGAAATACGATCTGGAAGAGACGGAGGACGTGGAAGAAGAGGAGGAGCGTGGTGTGGAGGAAACGGAGGAGTACGAGGTAGATGAGAAGGAAGAAGAAGAAGAAAAGGAAGAGGAAGGGAAGGAGCATGATACTGATGAGAGGAGACGGATTAGGAGGAGGAGGAGGAGGAGGAGGAGGA